AGTGAAGTGGAAGAGGACCGACAGACAAGCTTTATGAGCGAGAGAATCGCTCTATATATAGTGTAGGTAAGCGGGTCAACAAGATGAGATGCCTCCTGTTTGTTATAGCGACGTGAAAGAACCACTCATAGCCCATACGGGTAGTGAAAATGGAAAAGGACTGACAGACTAGTCTGTTGAGAACTCTGCCTCCAGTTTATGAGCGAGACTAAAGAATCAATCGCTCTGGTGTAGGTAGGCAGATATATATATATACATGATTGAAGCGTCCTTCGATCATATCCTGACGAATGGTTGGAGCTTCCTTGGATCAGGCCAAGCCAAACGTCCCTGATTCCCTGCTAGACTGAGGAACTAAGAGAGATGTCAAAAGGCGCCTTGTGATTCCAAAGGATACACACACACAGACACGCACATGTTTGTACGTATGCCCTGGCCAACGCTGCCAAGCAGCAAAGCTTCTCTATGAGACACAACCCGTGATGCCACGGCGACGAGCGGCGCGAAGAACAGCCTGAGACTGACAAGAAGCCTAGATTGTAGAGTCTGCGTAACAACCAGACTATTCAACTCGTCATGTCGTGCTTTGCTGAAATTAGGTCTAGTGACACTTGTCACCAAGTTGAAAGAAGCAGGTAAGAATCAAGAGTGGCTATTGCAATGTCGTGATTCCATTACAAAGTAGGTCGTGCGGCATGTTGATGCATGTTGTTCAGTTGCAACCAAGAAGCTTTACGAAGATCATCTGCTATGAGGATTGAGATTCACAAACCACAGAACGGGCCAGAGATGGCAAGAGATATCACGTTCAAACAGTCGCAACACATCTGCCACGTGTTCTTTGCTTGAGCAGAAGATGGGCAGCAAATCTTAATCTTCCTTCAGCTTGAAACTCCACATGCAAAGCTCTTGCAGCACATTCTCTGCTGCTGGCTGTCCGAGGTCAAAACTCGAGATTGGTGTCAAGATGTGTCAAGTCCCCATAGTGACTTTCTGTCCTCTGTCTGTGTTTAGGCTAGCTGCGAATGGGATTTGAAGGCGTTCTCAGTTTGCATGCTCTGCTAAGCATTGTGCACGGCCGTTTGGTGGACAAACACCATGTTGCCTATTGCCAGCAACATGTTTGAAGGTGCTCTGACCAAGGTGACCTGTCCTGCAACACTTAGATTAACCCGAGTTGCATTCACTGGCATGTATTATGAACACCTACAGAATGACACATAATCTCAGACTGAACCCTTGAACAGCTTCAGACCTTCCAAGTAAAAACAACCCTCATCGATGTTGCCGCTGAGCAACAGCTCGTAGATCAGAACAAAGTGCTTTCGCACCTGCCACCATCTGACTGCTTTTACTGGTGTGTAACTTTTCAAAGGAGGAAACTACATGAAGAATTGAAAAGTGTCAACCGAAAGTATGCACTTAAGGTATCTTTGAGAATCTATGAGGCATCATTGCATTAACTTTTGTTTGTCTTCGCGTACCAACGAGGTTTTCACATGAGAAAAGAAAGCAAACACATACAATGACAAAATGTTCCACACGTGCATTTAAAGTTCGCTTCTGCACTGCAAAGTTCATTTGGTGCTTGTGGCCATGAAGGAGATTGAAGGAGTGACCTACATCTCAGCAATCATGGCTTAAGAGCCAACTTCCAGTTGGCAATGGAATGTTATAGACAAGAACTGTTTCAAGATGAGGCTGTCAGGATCCCAAGGACGATCAGATTCACCAAGTAGCTGTTCAGTGTCTACAGCCTTTTTGCTGCATGGCATGGCTGCTCTGGATTCTGAAAAGTAATATATTCAGACCTGATTCTCGTCAAACGAGCCGCCGAAGTAGGCCTGACAATCAAGAGTGGCTTCATACATTGAGTTTTCTGTGTCTTTCGAACGTATGACAAATTCAAGCAATGCACTGTGCTGCAAAGCTCGCACCATTGACGACCATTTACAAACAGGACAGTGGACCGTGAGAGTGCAGAAACCTGTATCAGTCATCTACATACAGACCTGATTGCCATGATCAGAGCAACAGGTGCTGGAAGGATTACAGTAGGTGGGCCATCCAGCGTCTCTGCATAGTCTGCGCCCCCGCATCATATGTTGTTCAGACCATCTGTGCCTTGAAGAGGTCCACCATCTTGTACAGGAGCTTCAGAACCTCTTCAGAATTGCAGCTTCAATGCAAATAAATACTAAGAGTCAGTAAGGACGAATCATGAAAAGCATGTTCTCTTGAATTTGAGCCCATGGCCAACATAACGTTGACGTTGTCTTTGCTAGCAGCCACGAGGACGATATCTCCCTGCTGGCAGGCTGGAAGAACACGACTGAAGGGCCGAATCCCGACCGCAACGAAATGCCGAGCGCAATGGAAAGGCCAAGTACAAATACTATCAGAATAGTGGTGTTTCCAAACTTTTCAAGTCTGCATTGGTTCGGTTCCGTTTCAGGCATGTTGAAAAGCACAGGGACATCCATTGCCGAATTGCCGGTTCTTCGGAATGCGAAAACAAAACGACTGTGAGCCTGTGTGGTATACAGGAAGTGAGAGCCGTTGATGCTCACAACAGGTTTGTCCCTGGTCTCCTCTGCAAATAAGCAAATGAAGATAAATGAAGCTGCAAATATTATGCGTTTACACCACCCAATTTGACCCAGCTCTCTAGAAGTGTCAACAACATTGAATAACTCCAGCATTTATGTCATCTCGTGAACGGAACTCCGGCTGGAAGAACTGAAAGCCAAACAAGAAAGTGTTGAAACTTGTTCTTCCCGCCCCCCGCTTCATTAAGTAAGCGCCTACTTAGGTAGCTAGTAGATTAAGTATCTACTACCTAGGACGCAGGATAGCTCACGCTTCTTCAAGCCCGCCTGAGAGCGGGGGGAGCTTCGTTGAAGAAGCGCTCGTTGCTTCCTAGATTTTAAGGGAAACCTAACTTGTTTAAACCTTTACATATGGTACCCATGCTTTTGAACACGACGTAACATGACCCATTCCTTATGCTTGTCAACGCCCAAGTCAGTGACGCTCCTTGGCTGCGACGACTTGGCTGCAGAAGGCTTGCCAGTCCGAGCGCGTCACATTTTCCTGCCGTCCGAAACATGATCGGTTTGGAAAATGCGTTCAGGGCCTCAAAGAATGGTGGTGAAGTCAAAAGGCCTCAGAGCTCGGATCACAAGTGAAGACGTTCTAGGATACTCCAATTATACTTTTTCAGATGCATGACGCAAGTCTGCAATACCGTTTCTGATTACTTCGATTTGCTGCTCTCCCAAGTAGCCGGATCACTGATCGAAATGCCACTGAGTGCTACGTGAACTACGACTGGACTCGGAAACCACCTCAACTATGGCAGGCTTTAAGTTGGTCTATATATATTCTTTCCAAAGCCAGGCCACCCGCAACAAAACACAGGTACGTATCCAGTCTACAGTATAATAAGAGCATCTAAGACAGAAGTCCTGTGATGAAGGAATGTGAGGAATGATGAGGCCTCCAAGTCACGTTTTCCTTTCTTTCTCCTGCAGGGGTCCTTGTACGCTCGCCAGATGAGGATTTCACCCTGCAAGTGTCTGCACCATGTGCGGTCCATTCAGGTGCCATGAAGTCAGAAGATTGATGCTTCCTAAAAGCCAACCGGCTACTCTTGTGGACCTGTAGCGCCCCCAAGGCAAGAAGGCAACGAGTCACAGGTGCGAGAAGGCTTTTAGGCTTTTAGTAGCTTTGCTTTGCTATTACAACAGCTGGACAGGATGATACAGGATGAATATGTGCTGGAATGCTCCATTCTTTCACTCCCTGCGCTTGGAGTTTAGGCAACATCTTCGGCGACTGCAGGCTTCCATCATCTTCTATCTATATATGGGAGTGTCGTAGTAACCAGCTCCGCCTCACCTTGAGGTTCACCAGAAGCACTGACGAAATCATCTGCTCCCCGAAGGGAGCAGCAGCCTGTATGCTTCATGCAGTCAGTCAGCTTGCATTTTGAACGAATGCAAAGAACTTGATTGAACACATCTCGATGTTGATCCGTAATCATGAAGTCCTGAGTGGCCATCAGACTTAATGGCTCTTTGTGGTTCCTGAGTTCTTCCTGTTTCCTACACTTAAGAAGAGAGAGTCCAAAACCTACACACAGCATGCAGCAGGAAAAGTAGCAAACATCAAGCAAAACCGACGAAAAACACAACTACAGAGAACATCAACTACCGTCCGCTTGGCAATCCTTGTTGCAAACATCTTCCAAAGGCATTGCACGACTCCCACTGTTGCCTGGATTCCAGGCCCATACAGCTCCAATCATAAGAGCCGATTGATCCATGATAGCAGCAGAACAAATGCAAGCCCTGACGTCTAGTCCACGAAGTGTCCTAATCTTTTGAAGGTTACAAGGAGAAGGAGCAGAACTGAAGGATCGAGCAAGTCTGTTGACTCATCTATATAGCCACAACCACTGAGCGCTACAATAACAAGCAGCTACTAGGAATAATTGCATTGCTACTGGTAGCAAGGATGCTACTAGTAGCTCCTGGCCTTACTACTAGTAACAAGAAGCTACTAGTATCAAAGGGCATCGCTACTAGGAGCAAGGACGCTAGGTCCACAACCACTGAGCATTGCTCACTCAGCCTCCTCTTTCGCACGCTCGCACACCACATACGACTGTGTATGGCATACGGCGGTGCACGAAGGCGACTCCCGGCTCCAGACGGTGACGCCGCTCAAGACGCGGCACTGTCCACCAATCGAAGGAGCTAACTTTGCGGGAAGGTTGTCCACCGCCAAACATGCACTCGATTGATCGAGGAGCTAGACCGCAGTCGCAGGTTGCCTAGCTCTCCGGTCTGGCTGGTATTGTGACAGAGATGTGAACACCCGGATATTCTTGCCTTGAAGCCCATTCTTTGTTGGATCGCTGGCCCAGGGAAACTCATGTCTAGTGACAGTGATGTGAGTGAATGTCCCCCAACTCAGTTGGTGGCCTCTCTTCTTTTCTGAGCTGCAAGCTACGCAGCTACGCTGTGCGGGCAAAGCTTCTCAATTCTCACTTCCATGGCCTGAGGCCAAGGTGCGGAAAGCATTCCGGGCCTCAGGATCACATACCAGGCTTTCACCAGATCGATCGGTGTGAACATGAATCAATGACTGGGGATTGAAATTGAATTATGTTCTCTCGAAGCTGAGAAACGTGCTGTTGGTTCAGTGCGACAGCGCCACCGCTGCACGAGGAGGTGGCCGTGACAACTGAGCCTGGCAAGTGAGCTCACAATCCTCCGAAAAGGTCGATTTCTCAAAGTGCCCCTTCAAGGAAACAAACTACCCACAGTTGTCGGCTCCGCACAGCTACATAAGTGGGGTACCCGAGGTTGGGTATGTACCAAAGACAACTACGTAACACAACATGCGCACCACCCACAGAGTGACCGGACTAAAACACAGTCACACACACAGGTGAATTACAAATTCAACAATTCAAGCTCTCACTGAGAATACGAAAGCGAAGCAAGGTCTTGCATTTTTTGATCCGTTGGTACAATTTCTGACCGTCAGAAAAGGACATAGAAGCATATGGAGCATTGCAAACGGTCTCAAGAGGTGAAATCAATGGCAGCTCTAAGCGCACATTGAGTGGGTATGTCTGATTTGCGAGTGATTTTTTTTAATAAATAATTCGAGAGATGTTCCAGTAGCTTATTGGCATGAGGGATCTCTGGGCGAGCCGAGATGACCTTGAGGTGCGATGACGGATCGATCGCGAGTTGGTTTGGCTCCGCACAGCTCTTTTTTGTCCAGCACATTGATTGTTATGTGAAAGGACATAAGTCCGCCTTGAGTTCGGTCAGCATTTGATGATTGCTTAACAGACTCCAATTCACCAGCTGACCTCTGACTTCACCAAGTTCCCAAAGGTCAAAGACCTGCAAAGCAGCGGAGGTCTTGCACGTCAAAGTTAAAAGCTTGAGGCAAGTGCTCAAAAAAGAACAAACTCTGGTCACTGTCTCGGAAATGAAACGTAGCGCTGATACTGTTTCAGATCTAGCCGAGTGCAAGTGTACAGAAGAAGCTTCATTGGGATAGTGGGAATCGTTTCCCCTGCAATAACAAGAAGCTACTAGTGTAGCGTCCTTGCTCTTAGTAGCAAGCCACGCCGCCTCAGCAGGCGAAGGATGAGAGTCATGCAGGACAGCCAGCGTCCAAAAGTCGTTTCCTGCGCCGAGGCGTCGAGGCGCGGTACGGCGTCATGTCGTTATGGCCCATCTCATGTAGTAACAAGAAGCTGCTAGTAACAAGGTGCATCGCTACTAGTAGCTAAGTGCATTACTAATACTGTAGCAACAAGAAGCTACTAGTAGCTCTCATCTCTCAGGTTTCAGCCTTTGGAGTGCTGGTATCGAAGTCATAAATTTTGCTCAAGTGCTCTTGCCTGGCAAACCAGGCCACAAATGCTCAATGAAACAAGAAGGCAAACATTAGACAAAATGTGGGAAACCTGTTCGGCCTTCAGGAAGACTCAAGCAACCCAAGGAAATGCATTGGAAACCCTCTACTAAATTAGCAAACAGGAAAGTTGGCATGCAAGGCTCACAGAACGATCCTCGAGTTCCGAGACAATGGGCCTTGAGTAGGTAAAGGCTGACTCATATGCCCACAGTGGTGCATAAACTGCAGTGCCCAAGCTGTCATATGAGTACACGATGAATACAGTAGCATTATTATAAAAACTCACGCCCGCTAGCTTTTGATGCGCTCCACAGTTTGGTCAAAGAAATCAGATTAGCAATCTGTCAAGTCCTGACTCCGACTTGATTTGAGTCTAACTCTGACTC